CATCCTCTTCACGGCCACGACATCCGGACAGCCCAGGCGCGCCATGATCCCCGTGCCCACCGCCTGCGCCGCATAGACCGATGCCTGGGTCCCGGCACCGAGCTGCTCATTGACCGGCCGGAAGTCCAGGTCCACACTCACCAGAATGGCCCCGGGCAGGGCCAGCTCCACGATGGTGTTCAGCATGGTGGCATCCGCGTCATGGGCGGCGAGGTCCTTGGCCAGCATGGCCCGCCGGTTGTGCCGGCGCACAAGGCACAGTACCGCCAGGATCAGCAGGACCAGCAGCAGCAGCAGCCCCACCGACAGACCCACGGCCAGGCCCACACGCGACGCCGTGGGCCGGGGGAGCTGGTCGCAGTCGGCCGGCTCCGGCCCGGTGCAGCCGCTCACACACCCACTGTGACAGGGCAGGCAGGCCGGCGGATTGGCCGCCACATCCGCGTAATGGTCCTTCCGACATGCTGCCACACAGGTGTCCCCCTGCAGGAGCAGCCCCGCCATGCAGCGCGAGCAGGAAGTGGCCTCGGGACAGGCAAGCTGCCCATCCTGCTGGAGCTCGCATCCGGGCTGGCCCGGGCCCGCGCGACACTGCTCGCATCCGGCCGGGCAGCCGAGACACGCCCCATCCACCGGCGCCGAGGCGCCCGGGCAGGCCGACACGCAGGTGCCCTCCCCCGGCAGGAGCACCCCCATGGCGCAGCCAGTGCAGCGGTCCGCCGATTCGACACAAGTCCGACAGGCGCTCGCACACTGCTGGCAGGTGCCCGACTCCCGCGAGAGGAAGGCCCCGGCCGGGCAGCTCGTGGCACACTGCCCCGAGGACAGGACATACCCCGCCTCGCAGGCCGTACAGGTGGCCTCGCAGGGGGGCCCCTGCGAGAGGCACGCACGGCAGTGGTCCGGGCACTGGACACACCCGGCCGAGGCGGCACACTCCGTCCACCCGGCCGGGCAGCCGACGGCGCACAGCCCATCCGGCTGGAGTAGCCGACCCGGGGCGCAGCCCGTGCAGCTGCCCGGGCGGTCACACGTGGCGCACGAGGGCCCGCACTGGGTGCACACGTTGTTCTCGGCAAAAAACCCGGCAGGGCAGCCAAGCAGGCACTCGCCCCCAAGCAGGGCCCGGTCGCCCGAGCACGCGGTGCACCGGTCATCGCCGGATTCCTCGCACGCCGCACATGTCGAGTGGCAGGGCAGGCAGGCGCCCAGCACCTCGTGCGTGCCGGCCGGGCAGGCGGCATGGCACCGCCCGCCCACCATGAAGGGAGCATCGGGGCTGCAGGAGAGGCAGTTGTTGTCCCCCGGGCCGTAGCATGTGGCACACGTCCCGTGGCAGGTGGCGCACACATTCCCCAGCGGCAGACTGCCGCCCGGGCAGGAGGACACACACTCCGGGCTGGCCAGCAGCCACCCGCGCTCGCACTGGGCACAGGACGCCGCCGAGGCCGGGCAGCTGGCACAATGGGACCCGCACGGCGAGCACCCCGACGCCGTGGTGTGGTAGCCCGCCGGGCAGGCCGGCACACACCGCGTGGGAGACGCCCCGGTCGGCAGGGCCAGCAGCTCGCTCGGGCAGGCCGGCACACACTCCGTCGACCGGACCCCCATGCATTGCGCGCACGAAGCATGGCACGGCAGGCAGCGCCCAGCCACGGCCACATACGAGGCAGCACACGCCTGCACGCAGTCGCCATCTTGCAAGATCGCCTTTCGGCAGCGCCAGCAGTCCTTGTCGGTCGGACCGTTGCATGTGGCACAGGCCGCGTCGCACGGCAGGCAGGTGCGGGCGTCCGGGTCCCGGTACTGGCCTTCGTCGCAGCCGGAAACACATGCCCCGACGCCGGGGGCGCTCTCGACGAAGTCCAAGCCCTCCTCGCAGCCGGTGCACTGGTCGGCCCCGCCGCCGCCGGTGCAGGTGGCACACGAGATGTCGCACGGCTGGCAGGACTCCCCATTGGGCCAGGCCCCGGCCGGGCACGTGCTCACACACGTCCCGTCCGATGCCAGGAACAGGCCCGCCTCGCAGGTCAGGCATTTGTCTGCCGTGCAGGAGGCACAGCCCGACGCGCAGGGCACGCATGTCCCGGTGGCCCCGGCCGCCGGCCGGCCGGCCCAGCGGAAGCCATCGGCGCACACCTGGCAGGCGGCCGCGCTCCCGGCACACAACTCGCAGCTGGCGTCGCACTCGGCGCACCGGCCAGCACCGACGAACTGGCCCGGCAGGCAGGAACTCCCGCAAAGCGATGGCACTTGCGCATCGGTCCCGAGGAACACCAGCCCCGGCCGGCATGCCGTGCAGGAAATGCCATCCGTGCAGTCGACGCAGGATCCGTCACACACCGCGCAGGACCCATCGCCAGCGGCGAAGTGCCGCTCGACGCATGCATCGCAAACACCCTCCATGCTGCAGAGAAGGCAATTGAGCCCGCATGGCTGGCAGACATTATTCCCGACATCGAGCCGCGTCCCCTCGGGACACTGCTCATAGCAAGCCCCATCCAGTAGCCACCGGGTGGGTGGGCATGAGGTGCAGGCTTTCGGATCGCCAGGCCGCGAGCACTCGCCACAGGATGCATCGCACGCGAAGCACCGGCCCGGCTCGCCGGCATTCACATCCGGAACATGGCCAGTGACACACTCGATGCAAAGGTAATTGCCAAAGCTGTCGGGGGGGCAGGCATTGCAGCTGGAATGGCAAATGCACATGCCCTCATGGTCGGGATACAGCCCGGCCGGGCAGGCCGCCCGGCACACCTCCGGCTCGGAGGGCAGCCGATGGCGGCATGTTTTACAGTCCCCCGGCCCCGGGCCCCGGCATGTGAGGCACGCATCATCACAGGGATCACAGTAGAGCCCGTACGTCCCCTCCGGGCAGCTGACCCTCAGCAGGATGGACCTGGGCCCGGTGCTGGGATTGAAGGCCATCATGTACAGCAGCTGGTCGGGGCCCAGCAATCCACTGGCATCCAGGGCCATGGCCGGACTCCAAATGGCCGCGTCCGTCGGAATGCGATCCTCCCCCAGCAAAGAGACAAAGGTGGCCGGCTGCAAAACACACACGCCAGCCCCCCCATCCGGACAGTGCAGCATCGACACCCCGACGAAAGTGCGCGCCAGCAGCAGCAACGCGCTCGGGTACCGGACCCCGCCGGCCGGCAGGGCCACCCCCTGGAAGTGAACCGCCGGGGTCGAGCCACTGTCGGGCCCCAGGGCCTCCGGCAGCCGGCCCAACACATGGCGACTGAAGGGCACATCCACGGAGCGCCCCCCCGGCAGCATGTCCCCCGGCACTCGGAGGACCGTCCAATCGGCGCCGGTGGTCTGCGAGAAGACCAGCTCCGGCGCCAGGTCATCGCGCCCTCGTGCCAGGAGCACCGGCACATGGGGGACCCCGGGGACATTGGCCCCCGGCAAGAAGCGCCGGAGCAAGGACTGGCTGCGCGAATCGCCCGAATTCACAAACACCACCGGGCTGGCAGTGGCCCCCCCGGTGAGGTCCGACCACAGGAACCAGTCGGCCAGCTCGCTTCGAGCTCCGGCTGCCGAGGACGCCGGCAGCCGGAGCACCTCGCGCGCGTCGATCCGCGACCGGGCCAGGCTCTTGGAGCTGGCATTCGCCCGGAGCAGGTACACTCCATCGGACATGGTATACAGCACGATGCTGTCCACGCCAAGGCGCCGCAGGGCAAAGCAAGGGCTCTGCACGTAGGACTGTGCCACGGCCGGGCTGTCGGCCTTGCAGGGGCCCTGCGCGCCGGTGCACGACAGCCAAGCCTGGGACACGCTGCCGGAACGATCGCTCATGACCACCACATACAGCCATTTGCCCTCGCTCAAAAAGGGACCCAGCTCGGCCGACGCGATCACCGGGCTGGAGAGGGGCTGCGCCAGCAGGTTCACCTCCTTCAGCGGCGGCTTCATCGGGTTGCCAATTTGGCCTGTCGGCATGAAGTAAACCTTCTGCTGCTCGGTGAAGATCAGGGCCCCGATGGCCGGGCCGGTGTTGGTGGCCGGAATGACTGGCCGGGGATCCTGGTCGCTCAACAGGAGCCAGGTCTCCCCGATGGCGGTGATCGAGTCGCCGCTGGCCAAGCCCGGCATCTTTTCCGGCCCCACAATACGCAGGGAGGCCGGCAGCGGTGGCGAAGCATCTGGCCGGCATACCCCGGCGGCCGGGACAAATCCCGCCGAGCAGCTGGACACGCAGACGGTGTCCCCCCCGGGGCCACTCGGCTCGGGCAGGAGGCCCTCCTGGCACACGAGGCAGTGGTGCTCGTCGCATGTCCGGCATCCGCCCTGCGCACAGACCTGGCAGAGGTGGCTCGAAAGGGAGAAGGGCAATTCGCCTGACGGACGGGCAGGAGGCGACAAATGGCCCGGAGGAGCAGGGAAACAAATGACCCGGAGGAGTAAGAAGAGGAGCGCCCAGAGAAAAGACCCCCGCCCCGCCCCCCCCCCCC